GCTTCCAAAAATTCTTGGGTGATCATCATATTTCTTTTAAATGTTCCTTAGTAAAAACTTCAGACGACCTGACCTTCCTTTTTAGGCTTCGTGGCCGTTCTGGAAAAAGTTCCTTGAAACATAGAAACAACCAATTAAAAAGTAATAAATTTTTTAAAAATTGGATTTGATGATCTTATGATGTCTTGCTTATTTCATCCTTCTCCGTTTGGGAGTTTCTTTATATCTACTGGAAATTTGCACTGTTTAATGTAGATTATCTTCTATCCTCCCTCTGGCGGCGAATTACTATTAAATTTTAATTTTTAAATTTTTGCTGGATGATAAAATTTTCTTTAAAAATTAAGACGTAGTCACTTCCAAAAATTCTTGGGTGATCATCATATTTCTTTNGCGCCTGGAGCGGCTGCTCTGTTCGCCTTATGGTAGGGCCGGTTCTGGAAGGGACAAATGAAAATGGACTCAATTATATGTATAGTCCAAAAGGAAATATATTTTTCTATATGTGAATTCGTCCTGGCAAAAAATTTTTTTAATGTATTTATTTATTTAATAATTGTGCTGGGCACCGCTAGAGGACTTTTTAACTCATTTACATTGGACAATGAACATGTAGCCTCAAATAAAAGGTCGGTATCGCCGTAAATTTGTTATTGCCTCTGCAAAGTGTGTGAAGGGACCAGTGCTGGCCCAAGGCAAGTTTTAGGATGGAGCGAGATCCTATTATGGCGCCCAGGGTTGGAACCCTGCTCACGCACGCAACCCACGCGTGTCTCAACAGATAAGGCCATTCACATACTGGCCACACGCTTGCAATTAAAATATCGAAAAGTGAAAAAAATATTTTTTCCTTTAATTGTCTTTACCACTGAGGCGCCCTCTAGGACTTAGCGCCTGGAGCGGCTGCTCTGTTCGCCTTATGGTAGGGCCGGTTCTGGAAGGGACAAATGAAAATGGACTCAATTATATGTATAGTCCAAAAGGAAATATATTTTTCTATATGTGTTCAATTCTTATTCAATCCTTATTTTTAGATATACAACTTTTTTTATTACATTTGTCCTCAAAAAGTAAGTTCTGATCAAGAACTATTTCACTCAAACTTCCATTATTTGAGTATTGTGGTAGCATGATGTTTACTTATACTATACTTTCACATATTTGACATATATCCCAACACTGTGGGAGATAGTGTGTTGTACCTCATGCATAGAACTCCGGGTCCTGTTCATGAGATCATTTTTGGACTATATTAACTGCTTTGTTATCTGATAAAAACCTCTTCCCATAGCAGTGTTTCTTCAGAGATTTAAATACACAATATTTACTAAGTTAAATGGAGAAATCTGAGCTATATGGCAGGTAACCCAGTATTCCTGTCTAAATCATTCAACAATGGTATAGGCAATGTGTAGTATAGACTAGTGATTACCATCAATTTGGACATACGAAGAAAGCCATCTTCAGGAGGAGATTTTTATCAAATAAACAGTCATTTGAAAATGCTGAACCAATTTTTTACGACATTGTATGAAAGTAGTTCTGCAAACAGGACCCCAAGTTCTATGTATTTCTTATCACAGAATTTGGAAAACCCCATTCCCATTCCCAAGTAATGGAAGTTACAGTTTTGATGTAATCCTTGGCCAGAACTTACTTTATGAATACACTAAGTAAATTTCATTTTTGTATTTTTCCTGTTTTATCAGTAAATACTGTAATTGTAAATGTATAAAAGTACAGGCATTTATAATAATAAAATAAACTTTTATATTACAGCGGCACAAATTGCTATTGATGATGTTAATAAAAATCAAAATATTTTAAATCAATACAAACTTACTTTACTTGTTAATGATGGACAATGTGCAGCAGATGAAGTTATGAAAAGTTTCATTGGTTATGTGACAAATTCCACTTACAAAGATATTATTGGAATTTTGGGTAATGTTATTGTTTAAAATATTCTTATGCATTTACAATGCTATTACAATATATCTAAAACAATTTATCTTATTTAGGACCAGCATGTTCAGATACAGTCGAACCAATAGCTGGAGTTGCTAAACATTATAACACTATTATTATAAGTTATAGTGCTGAAGGAGCATTAATCAATGACCAAGATAAATACCCTTACTTCTTTCGTACAATTCCTGAAAATAGTCAGTTCAGGTGAATTAAAGTAGTTAAATTTTAGCATTTAGCATACNAATAACTTTATCATCTAGATTAGAGATTTGGGATTAATAGTTTTGAGATAAACTATGGTTTTCATTTGGAAAAATTGTAGATTGTTAGAAAATAATAACAAAAATTTTATTTAAGTTTTAATGATTTAACAGTAATTATTCTTTTTGTATATTATTGTCTTTTTTCCATTTTTCTGTATTGATTAATTTTATTAAGAACAAATAATAAAGTATATAAAATTTTGAAAGCCAGTAGTTAAGATATATAAATATGATCCAAATTTGAATAAGTTGACTGAGAAAATAAGAAGTTTAAAATTTACACTTATAAATTAAAATTTTCAAATTATTTATTTAAATGTGTTAATAAAGAAACTAATAAACATTTAAAAAGTGTATTGTTTTTATATGTTGATAAGCTAATTGGAGCTCTTAAATGTAGCAGTTTTCTTCAGGCTATTTTTAGTAATTCAGGCTCTCAAGTTAGTAATTGGAAGAAAACCTATGTTGTTTATCATTAATGTAAAAGCTCTTAAAATTTTATTTTTAGTTCATTTTTAAAAATTCAGTTCTTGATTTCAATTTCTGATTTCTGATAAAATATAGATAGTTGATGATAATATCATTCTTTAAACATAATATATGTATCTGTATTCTGCTTTTGCTTTTCATTTGAAACAAGCTTTATGTGATACTTATATGCACCTTTAAAATAGTTCAGAATAGTTCTGAATCACTGCTGTCAATAGGCAAAAAATTTTTAGAAATGATTTTAATATCTAGATGAATTTAAAAAACTTATTTTTTTAGGAAAACATTCATATATTAACTGTCATGAGTATTAATAGATTTATTAACTATAACATTTTTAGAACATGTTTCCAATTTTATAAATTTCTAAACATAAAACATTCAAATCTTTGACAATGGGAGAATACTTTGAAAATGTTAAATTTAATATAGCTATTTATTTCTGTTTATGATAACATATTTGTCTGCTTTTTGAATAAAGANTTAGTATTTTTAAGTAGATTAAATTTAAAAAACTTATTTTTTTATTCTTTAGGCATGTTTATCTACAGTTATTTAAACAGCTAAATTGGAACCGTGTTGCTGCATTAACTGAGGATGGTCAAAAATACCCAGAATATATATCTCTAGTCCATAACTTATTGCAAGAAAATGGATTGAACTTCATAATAAATAGCAAATTTCCCCGGGATCGCGTTTCTCACAACATGACACAATATTTATTAGATTTGAAAGGAAAAAAGGCAAAAATTATTATTGGTGACTTTTATGATTATGCAGCAAGGTCTGTTATGTGTGAAGCATATAAACAGGTAATTGAAAATTATATCAGTTTATTTAAAGAGAGGTGCTAATTAAATTGTTATTCTTCCCATTTGTGACAATTCTCCTCATATAGCAATTTCCAATCCATATACTGTATATAGTATGTTATCTACATCCCTGAAATTAATATACTTTTGGGCAGAAGTGATAAGTATATTAATTTTAGGGATGCATATAATATTTTTTCAACAACTCCCAAGTTCTTTAAACATGTGCTAACATTTCCAATGCACATGCACATTTAGATACATAGTATAAGCTGCCAACGTGGTACTAATCATCTCTTTTGTAATATCCCAGTTGTTGTTTAATTCTTGCATCTGATGATCTAGACATTCAATCTATGTACTTTACATCCACCCTGAATTATTGATCTTCAATAGGTAGTCCAAAAGGAAATATATTTTTCTATATGTGTTCAATTCTTATTCAATACTTATTTTTAGATATACAACTTTTTTTATTACATTTGTTCTCAAAAAGTAAGTTCTGATCAAGAACTATTTCACTCAAACTTCCATTACTTGAGTATTGTGGTAGCATGATGTTAGGTACTTATACTATACTTTCACATATTTGACATGTATCCCAACACTGTGGGAGATAGTGTGTACTGTACCTCATGCATAGAACTCCAGGTCCTGTTCATGGGATCCCTTTTGGACTATATTAACTGCTTTGTTATCTGATAAAAACCTCTTCCCATAGCAGTGTTTCTTCAGAGATTTAAATACACAATATTTACTAAGTTAAATGGAGAAATCTGAGCTATATGGCAGGTAATCCAGTATTCCTGTCTAAATCATTCAATGGTGGTACAGGCAATGTGTAGTATAGACTAGTGATTACCATCAATTTGGACATATGAAGAAAG